GGAAACATTGCTCTACAGTCTTCAAGACTCTAGTTTTGAAGCCAGAATCTCTTCTTCCTTTGGATCCCTAATGCTTCCAAATGTTATCTGGATGTTCTGGACTTAAAAAATATTTCAGCCCCTTTTGCCTAGGTAGCGGATCCTGCGTAACCCCATCAAGGTCTTCTTCCTTACTCTCCACAGCACCCGAGTTTGCGGTTAGAGGCAGTGATTTTAAGAACCTGCTGCCTAAACTACACGTTGACTCCTGCTTCACTTTTTCCCCTTCTTTTGCAGGGCTCCAAGTCTCAGAATCGGATCTCTACCGGCCAATGATCCAGGCCGCGCTGGCCAAGACCGATACCCGCCTTCACATTTCCCCCACCATCTTCGGAGAAAGGCACGCGCCTACAGACTTGGCTTCGGTGACGGGAATCGCAGCCTCCGAACTTTCCTTGGGCCACGTGGTCCGAGCCTTGTGCCGTGGGGTGATCCAAAACCTGCACTCCATGCTCTCCTCAGAGAGCTTGAAGGAGGCGGGTGCGGAGCGGATCGTGGCCAGTGGGAGTGGGCTCTGCCGGAACGAAGTGATGAGGCAGGAACTGGAAAAGGCTTTTGCGCTTCCGGTGGTCTACGGAAAAGTCGCCGATGCAGCCCTGGGGGTGGCTTCCCTGTTGCTGAAGAGGAAGTGAAGGCCTGCGATCCTCGTGGCCGTGGAGCGTGTGTTCCTCTGTCCAGACCTGCTGGGGGGAGACCCCAGTGGAAATGCTCTGGGGAGGGTGGGAAGGGACAGGAGAAGCCCCCTAACCTTTTAGAAGAAGATGACATCCGAGTTGACAAAGGGAACGGGCTGCCTCCTGCTGCAAGGGCAAAACATGGATTCTGCCAGTGGGGACGTGGGCATTTGGGAAGTCACTCCTTTAGGTCTCACCTGGGAGGAATTAAAGAAAAAAAAATGCTCTGGAGAAATTAGCAGCCCCCATCACTTTTTGCAGCGTTGCGAGGGACTCCAATTACCTGCTGAATGTCTGGATAAAGAAAGCAGCTTGCTCATATCTCCCACCCAAATGATTTCCCCATACAGGTAGTTCTTGCTTAATGATCACATTAGGGATCAAAAATTTTGTTATTAAGCAGGGCGGTTGTTAAGTGAGATGCGACCACACCCAATTTTATGACTTTTTTTGCAGCGGTTAAGCAAATCGTGGTTGTCAAGCAAATCACATGGTTCCCCATTGATTTTGCTTGCCAGAAGCTGGCTGGGAAGGTCACAAATGGCAATCACATGACCCTGGGATGCTGCAACCGGCGTAAATGTGAGCTGATTGCCAAGTGCCTGGATTGTGACTGCAGGGGTGCTGTGATGGTCATAAGTGTGAGGACCGGTCATAAGTAGCTTTTTAGTGCCATCATAACTTTGAATGGTTGCTAAATGAATGGTCATTAAGCGAGGACTACCTGTAATTCTACATGTTTGCAACTCAGAGGGATCAAAGATGTCTTCCTTATTCCCATGGTTGACTGTATTTGTTTCTGGGTCACTCTGAGCTGTTCACACAGACCAGGGGTTAGCAAAGCAATCCCTTTGGGAGACCCCAACCCTTCTGAGCAGCATTTGCAGACCCTGGATGGCAGGAAAGTGTTACAGAAACTCTTTGCTAACATCTATGGCCATCTGGCTTTTGGTAGCCCAAATCCTGTAAGCCTGCCCTAAATCAAAACAACAACAGTGGGCAAACTCTTGAGAGAAGTGGCCCACTTTCAGGGGTATAAGATGTCACAGGAAATGCGGTGAGATCTCTGGGTTCTCATGGAAATCTCATACAAACTGACCCATGTTTAAAAAATCCTGGACCAACATGCCTTCTCACAGTCACCCACACCCCAATTGCCTCCCGTTTGGACTGTTGTAATGCGCTCTACGTGGGGCTGCCCTTGAGTATCTGGAAGCCCTTTATCCGGGGGGTTTACTGATTTTTGTATTACAGGTTTTAATTCTGTAAGCCGCCCAGAGTCACCGCGTGAGAGTTGGGCGCCCATATCAATTTGTTTAATAAATAAATAAATAAATAAAATGCCTTTGCTTCCAGGCCGTTGTGTGAGATTTCGATGAAAGCCACCACAAGGCTTGTGGACCTCTTCCGTCGGTTGTTTTCGTCCCTCTAGGGTGGCAGGGGTGCAGTCGCAATGGGGGAATCCTTAATGAGCAGCTCACGCCTGCCCCAAGCACCTTGCTCAGGGCTGGCTAGAGGAGTGTAGAGCCAAGGGCATCATGCCCTTGGCTCTCCTTAGGAGAAGAACCCAATTCAGGGTAAGAGGCAAGCCTGGAATGTGAATAGTTGATGAGACCAGACCCTGGACTTAGGCTGGGAGGTTTGAGGTGAAGAGTGCCCTGGATTCATTGGCCATAGGCAATTCAACCATCCAGGCCAGCCTGAGCACCTCCAGCCCTCCATCTTCCTCTCGCACACCTCTGCTTTAAAAGTTTCCTTCCTCTCTTGCTAGGGGAGGGTTTATAGGTAGTCCTTGCTTAACGACCGTTCATTTAATGATGGTTCGAAGTTGTGGCCTCAGAAAAAGTGCTTTGTGACCTGTACTTGTACTTACAACCATCTCAGACCATTCCACCACCCCCTGCAATCACGTGATCGCAATTTGTGCCTTTTTTACCATGGTCGTTAAGTGAATCGCTGCAGTTGTTAAGCCAATTCTGGCAATAAACATCCATTGGGGAAGCTGGATTCACTTAAGGACTGTTGTAAAAATGGTTGTCAAATCGGGTCCAGTCATGTGACTCACTTAACCACCGCCCACTTAACGACCAGTTTTCCAGTCCCTATTGTGGTTGCTAAGTGAGGACTACCTGTATTTATTGATTTTTTGGGTGGCATTCAAATGCATGGTTTAGGCTTCCCTGGCAAAACGAGACCGCGAAACGAGGTTCTGCTTCACATGCAGCAGCGCGTAGAGCCAGCTCTTTACGTTTGAACGTGGCAGGAGATGCGTTTAATAAACAAGCCGATCGCTTCTGAAACTCAGCGTGCGAAGGTAGGAAGCAGAAAGGACGTGACTGACTTGGTGGCTCATCCATTTTCCAATAAACTTTGATGACTTAAGAAAAATTGCATGGCTTTTGAACCGCTCTGCGCAATTAGCCTGCTCACTGAAAGCTACTCATCTTCTTTCTCTGACTTATTATGGGAAATTTAGCGAACAAAAAACAATTTAAAAACAATTTCATTTAAGCCAGGAATTGATTGGCTTTTTGAGCCAATGGGCGTATTTGAAGCACTTTTGTGGGCAATTTCCCAAAATGGCTGCCATGGGGAAACCCGGGGAGGGTCAAAAAAGTCACAATGGCAGCTGCAACAGCATGATTAAAGCCCTGCTCCCTTTTAACTCCCCCTCCTGGGGGGGGTGCTTTCAGGCCAAAAAGCAGTAACTCTGTTAGAGGTGGTCAGCTCAAATGCACCCATTGCTCAGAAGGTAAAACTGATCAGGTCGCCATCACAAGCTGTCCGCTTGTCTGGGGGCATCCTTGGGGGAAAAGATGACACTTGGGAGCAAAAGAAGGTTGACGTCCTTTTTTTTTTTTTTCCAGAAGAAATTTAAAATAATTGGGGTCCTCTAGGAAGGTGGAAGCTCTCTTGCTAATCTGTCTGCATGCACCCAAACCTGAAGCAAAGCTAAATGAAGCTCGAGGAGTTCAACATAAATTTTAAAGGCTGCCTGTCCCTGAAAGAAGAGCCTTCAAATCAGGGTTTCTCAACCTTGGCCACTTGAAGACGGGTGGACTTCAACTCCCAGAATTCCCCAGCCAG